AGTTTTCTTCAGTGTTTCTCTTTTATGAATTCATTCAAAAGTTTATCCCTATCTTATTTTAGTTCTTTGATTTGTTTGTTCATGTGTTCTTTAAATTCATTGAATTCCTTGATCATGTTTATGATTGTTCTTTTAAATTCAGTGTCCTGGGTTATCTCTAGGGGTTCTCCTTGTTGAATTCTTCTACGGGACTGGTGGAGTTTGGTGGGGACATAGTGTTTTGGCTTTCCATTTTATTATCCTTTCGTTGTGGTGTTGGCATGTGAATTTCCTTTGTTGTTTATGATTCTGATATGAGAATTAAGTTGAAGTATGCTTCTGTTTGTATTATTCGGGTGCCCAGGTCCTTTCCTTATTGATTATGTAAAGCTGATTGGTTGACGTTTCAGGTTCTCTCAGGTTTTATTTTGGAGGGAACTGATGGCTTCAGATCAGTTACTCAGGAGCACCCACAGAAGCCCAAGTTAGGGTCCAGTCATGTACACTCAGGCTTCCTTCTAAGGTTTGGACCCCTATTAGCAGGAACTCAGAGAAAATTTGGGAAATTCCGAGGGCCGATTTTGGGACTCGCAGTTGGTCTGCTGTGATCTCAGTCTGTGCCTACCAAAGCCAGATCTGCCCTATGGCCTCAGGAGTGGCCAAAATCCCAGGTAGGGGGATGGGTATTGTGCAATTAGGGGAAGCTCACCATCATGTGGAGGCAGGATCCTGGTGCTCTCAGGCAGCCCCCTGTGTTCTCAGCCTCTATGCCAGAGGGAGGCCAGAACCCAGCTCTCTGGCAATTTGCTGAGAACACAGCTGCTATGCTGATGGAGACTGGAACCCACCCTCTCAGTTTGTCTGCTAGGATCTCAGCCTTAGCCTACCAAAGCCAGATCTGCCCTGGGGCCTTTGGAGGGGCCTCATGAAATCCCAGGTAGTGGGATGGGTGTGGTGCAATTAGGGGAAGCTCACCACCACAAGAAGGCAGGATCCAGGTGCTCTCAGGCAGTCCCCTGTGTTCTCAGCCCTTAAGCCAGAGGGAGGTCAGAACCCAGCACTCTCTGGCAGTCTGCTGAGATCACAGCCGCTACACTGTTTCCAATTATTATATTATTAATATAAATAACTTTGAGATTAAGTGCATGGGCATAAACCTTTATTTGATTTTCTGATTATTTCTTTGTGATAAATTTCAGGAGAGATAGCTGGGCCTGGTGGCTCATGCCTTTAGTTCCAGCACTCGGAGGCAGGGGCAGCCTGGTCTACATAGTGAGTTCCAGTGAACCCTGTCTCAAAAAGACCGAAAAAGAAAAAATTTCAGGAGAGAAAGAACTGGGTCAGAGGCCTTGACCATTTGGCAGGTTCTTATTAGATACGGTAAAAGATATTTTATGATAATATATACTTATTTCCCTAAGGACCATATGTATAATAAAAATATCATCAGAGCTATGGAACAGCAGCAGCAAGAAGAGGAAGATGAAAATATTAGAAAGTTTATCAAAGCAAAAAAGCATCTCATACAAATGAGGAAAGACAAAGATGATGAAACCCACAGGTAGGATATTTTTGTTTTTTACTTCCTCCATTTTATTTATTCATTTTTAAATTTTTAAATTGAATTTTTGTGTATTTCATACATAAAATCATCTTATCATCTTTATAACACCTTTCCCCTTTGGCACCTTTCCATAGCCCCCCCCCACTGGAATTCATACATTCTGTCATTTGTGTTAAGGCCTGTCATGTAAAGTTAATGTCCCTAGATGTCCCTCAGTGCAAGTTCATCCGCTGGGATCTAGCCAGCTTATCTAGAGTCCCTCCCTTTAAGAAGATCAGCTCTTCCTCACGCAGCAGTAATCAGCTGCCAGTAATTCTTCGACTAAGATTGGGGCCTGCTGCTCATTTCCACAGTTCTGTGCTGGTTTTTTGTCTGCTTAAGTTTGCATGGGTCTTGTGTATGCTGACACCATTGCTGTAGGTTTGTATGAGAAGGGTCCCAGGCACCTATAAGACTATTTCCGTATGGTCCTGCACCTCCCTGGCTCTTACAATCTTTCCACCCCCTCTTCTGAAAATGGTCCCTGAGCCCTGGGTGGGTTGATTTTAATATAAGAGTATTGTCCAAGGACCCACACTCTGCACACTCTTACTCTGCATTTTGGCCATTTGTGACCTTTTGCATTCCTGGCCCTCTGTTGCATGAGGGAGCTTCACTGATGAGAGTTTGAAGGATACATTAGTGTTCTCTTCATCCCTTGTTCTATGTTCCATGAGCCTTAGGTGTAGAGCACAGGTAGGCTCTTAACTACCTTGTGAAATGAATGGAGTGCTATCTGACGATATATAGTAAGCCAGAAGTTATGCTATGAGAGTAGTCTTTGGGAGACAAAGTCTCATTAGGTGACTGGGGCATTTTGTGACACGATAACTTCAGTTTGGGGCATGAGAACTGAAGTACCCATGGGATAATCCAGAACTCTCTGTGATAGATGGTTGAAGGCACTGGTCTACTATAGGAGACATCTGAGCTGGAGGGGCCTCTGTGAGTCATTGATATATGCATTTGTTACTTTTCTCACTGCTGTAACCAAATATCTGACAGTAAACAACTTAAAGGAGACAGGATTTAGTTTTGGTTTATGTTTTGAAGGGATAGTCCTTCATAGTAGGAAAGCCAGTGCTGCTCTTGCTGTGAAGGCAAAAACATGAGGCTGTTTGTCCGTATCTGAGTAGAGCAGGATGCAGAGAGAGATGAATGCTGGTACATAGGCTCAGTTCACTTTCTCTTTTTTCCTCTCTTTATTCAGTCCAGGACCCTGCCTCGCCCATGAGATGATGCTGCCTACATTCAGAATGGGTGTCTTCTCTGTCGGTCCTCTCTGGAAATGTCCTAACAGATATGCCCAAATGTGTGCTTCACCAGTGTTCCAGGTGTTTCTTAATCTAATCATGCTGACAATCAAAATTTATTCTCCCCGTATAAGTGGTAGGTAGAGCTGTGGATTCAGGCAAGCTCACCTAGAGCAACAAGCTAAGTGACAAAGGTGCCATAGCCCTTAGGAAACCTCACATTTAAAGGCCAAATGGAGAAAGAAAAGCAGAGCATAGTGAAATACAGAGCTTTTACTGCTTTTGTTCTTTGTCATGCCCTCAGCACCTGGAATACTGTCTGACACATAGTAGACTGTTCATCTGCAAAGTGTATAGAACAGTGTTTTCTGTATTAACTGAAGCATCACCTTTCCCCCAAGTCTTCTGTATCTTCTAGCATTCACAGGACATGTATCACCATTTGCCATGTGTATTTGCATAAACATCTCTTTTTTACTCTAGACTCTGATTTCCTTGGACTGTACACTGTGTCCTTTTCAATAATTTCTCACATCTCTCTTTTTCTTTCAGTGTGCAAGACTATGTATTTCTATTTCAATTTTCATTTCTCTTTGGCTTTCTAATAGTCAAGCCATTCATCAGTGTCAAGTCACTGTCTAGAATATAGACAGTGCTTTTGCCACTTGGGGTCCAATGTGGATTAAATAGCAATGACTTGTGTTATGAGGTATGAAAATCACGGACCCAGACACATCTCAACGGCCATCTAAGACTTTCATCCAAGGGTGTACATCTATCTTCTGACTTCCACAGAGCTCCTCGTGCTGTTCTGACAAGTACTTCCAGTCCACGACTACAATGACTCTAACATACTCATTTTGCTTTTTGAGGTTACATTCTTCATGTCCTTCATTTCCCCTAATCCTTTGCCTCAAGATTCTGGATAGTCCAGGGCTGGGGATGTAGCTCAGTTGGTAGAGTGTTTGCCTAGTATGCATTTTGAAACCCTGAGTTCGATTCCCAGCACTGCATAGAACCAGGCATGGTGGCATGCCTGTAATCTCAGAACTCAGGACGTGGAGGCAGGAGGATCAGTGGGGTTCAAAGTCATCTTCAGCTACATAACAAGTTGGAGGCCGGCCTGGGACACATGATACCCTGTCTCACTAGGCAGAGGCCAGATCCAGGCACTCTCAGGCAGTCTGCTGAGGTCTCTTCATATATCTCTTTACAAAGTCACTCAATAAATCAGTGAACTTGTCTTAACTAATTAAAATATTTTTGCCCAGTTTCCTTCCCTTATCTTTTAATAAAATGAGCCTATTGTTTATGATGTTCCAGATACATATTTGGCCCCAGACTAGGGAGCAAATTCATCCAGTCCCTGACTTCAGGAATCTCCTAGTGTAAAGGGAGAGGGACATATAAACAGTTAAAATCAACAGTTCTATTATTAGACTCCAGATGGGCATAGGGAGAGAATAAATTTATTCAATCTTTTAATAGCTTCTGTTAGGTTTTATTTAAAGAAAGATGTTTTATAATATAAGCCTCCAATGTTAGAGCAAGCAGGGTATAATAAAATTCTAAAATATTTTCTGGACTGGAGAGATGCCTCAATTGATAAAGTATTTGCTCTACAAGCATAAGGACCTGAGTTCAGATCCTCAACATCCACTAAAAACCAGGTATGGCAGTGTGTCTCTATAATGCTAGTGCTGGGGAGGTGGCCTTAAGGGTATTCCCTAGGGATCCCTGTCTAGCCAGTCTAACCAAGACAGTGAGCTTTAAGTTCAGTAAAGAGACCTTGTCTATAAATTAAATAAATAAATAAATAAATAAATAAATAAATAAAAAGGAGAGCAGTAGTATGTGCAGACAAGGAAATTTTAATATAATTTTTATAACTTTACATGCATATATTTCTATCATATTTACCCCCTACTCTTCACCTCTAACGCATTCTAATCTACACATGCACACGCACGCACGCACACGCACGCACACACACTCACCACTCCCATCTAACCTCATGTCTTTTTTTTTTTAAAACAACTGCTGAGCCCAATTATTGCCATACATATACACAAGTATGAAGCATGAAGTATTCACTGGAGCATGGTCAACCTACTAGTGACCACATCCCTAAATAAAACTGACTCTCCTTCCCCTCACAGCCATCTACTGCTCCTTGGCTAGGACTAGGGCCCTCATGTACCCCCTCCAATTCATGCTGGAATGTTGACTGGCTTCATCTTGTGCAGGTATGTGCAAGCAACCACAGCTACAGTGACTTCATGCATGTAATGGCCCTCACAGGTACAGCAGACACTGTTTCATCCCAGTCCTCCTTGACCTCTAGCTCTTATAATCTTTCTACCCCTTCTTCTGAGATGTTCCCTGAGCCTTGGGTGGAAGGATATATTATAGAGGTCCCATTTATGACTCAATACTTCCTAGACACTTATTCTTTGTAATTTGGCCATTTGTAAGTCTCTATGTTTACCACTCTCTACTGAAAAAAGATGTTTCTCTGGGAAAGAGAGCTGCACTAATCTACAGGTTTAGAAATACGTATTTAGAAGGTAGTTTAATACTATGACCATTTAGCAACATAATAGTAGTAGGTTTTCCCCAGGGCCCATGAACTCCCAACCACAGGTTCTTGGCAGTATCAGGCATGCGTTTCCTTCAGTGGAGCAGGCATTAAATCCAGTCAGAAGTGGTTGACTATTCCCATAATATTCATGCCACTATTGCACCCATGGGAATGTCTTGCCAGGTCAGTGGCTGCTGTAGCTTCCAGATTCACAGCTGCGTAAGGATTTTGATGATTTTTCTCCCACAGCAGTCTGCATAACATACTGCAGTCCTATGAAAGCCAGCCGGCAGGAAGCTTCCAGGTCAGCACCAGATTGATTTCTCTAGGTCTTGCAACCAAGGTGGTATCTGCAACAACGTAGTCTGTCAAGTTCTTCTGGGCAACCAAGAGCAATGGCAATAGTTTGCCTTGTTTGGGGGGGCAGTCCTCTGGGGCCCCCCTTAACTAACATCTCAAAGGGATACAGCACCTGAGACTGGGCTTTTTAATTTGATAACCTATGGTTTCTGGGAGGAGCATTATTCCCCTTGTAGAGAAATTTCATGATCTGTAAGGAGACATATGACTCCTAAATTCCGGTGCAGCTAGCCATAAGAAGAGCCAAGTTTTCCATCTCTTCTGGAAATCAAGGTTACTCCTAGGACCCACTCTGGGTTTTTACAGAACTTTGGGGACACTCTTAAGTGGTGCCTTCTGTTGTCTTTAAGAAAAGAACAGAACACATAGCAGAAGGAAGATTTGGGGAGAAGGGCTTGGGGTACAGCTCAGTGGTCCAGCACTTGCCTAGTATGTGGGTGACAGCCTAGGTTTAATCCCAAACATCACAAAGGAAATGGAAGTGGTGGGAGGGAAAAGATAAGGATGATTCTAAGTGTAAATTACCATTGTCTGCCCAGATTAATTACCAGCTTCCTCTAAATACTCTTCCCCAGTCTTTTTTAAAAAATATTTAATTAATTTATTTATTTTTTTGTCTTTTTGAGACAGGGTCTCCCTGTAGCCCCAGCTGTCCTGGAACTCACTATGTAGACCAGGCTGGCCTTGTACTCACAGAGATCCGCCTGCCTCTGCCTCCCAAGTGCTGGGATTAAAGGCATGCGCTACCATGCCCAGCCTATATATTTTATTTTTAATGTGTGTGAGTGCATTGCCTGCGTGTATGTAAGTGCACCTGTATCATACAGTGCCCATGGAGGTCAGAAGTGGGTGTTGGATCCCCTGGAACTGGAGTTACAGATGGTTGTTAGCCACTATGCTAGTGCTGGGAACTGAGCCCAGGTCTTCTGCAACAGTAGCTAGGGCTCTTCATTGCTGAGCCATTTCTCTAGTCCACCTGTCATAACATTTAAATTACATAGTTTAGTAAAAATTTTAGCAAATTTTCATATAAAAATATTTCTGTACTTTGAGATCTTGCTTTTCTGTTCCTGTGTTTTCTTCTTCCTCTTCCTCCTCTTCCTGCTTCTCCCTGCTTCCTGTGTGTTTCTCTATGTAGCTCAGGCTCCTCTCAAACTCGTGATCTTCCTGCCTCAGTTTCCTCATCTTCAGTACCGGGATTAAGGTATGCACCTGTATTAGTCACTTTTCTGTTGCTGTGATAGATAGAAACACTGACCCAAGTAATTTATAGAAGGAAGAGTTTATTTGAGCTTACAGTTCCAGGGGAATTACAGTCCATCATGGCAGGGACGCATGGTGGCTGGAGGTGGCTGGAGCAGGAGCAGCAGAAGCTAAGCTCTCACATCATCACACAGGCACAGGAAGCAAGAGAGCAACTGGAGATCTGGCACGGCTTAAGAATTCTCTAAGCCCACCCCCAGTGACATGCTTCCTCCAGGATAGCCACACCTTCTAAAACCTCC